CTGATTGGTGCTACATCTGCCTCTGCCACACGCAGAGCCCTCTGGCGGCTGTAGGGGTCATTCACTGGCGGGAAGGGGCGTGGCCCCTCCTCACGGGGCTCTGATCAGACATGGGGATCATGAGACTCTACCGCACTGCTCCTTGGTAATGGGAGACTTAGCCCTGTCTGCCATGGAATCTCGTTATTATTGAGATTCAGGATTGCAAACAAGAAGGAAATGAATAATTTGTTCATCTCTAGACTTCCTTAAAATGCTGTGGGTTAGGGAAGGCTCAGACTTTCCCCCTGTGGCTCCCAAACTTCTTTGTGCTTCCCTGAGTGAAACAGTCCCAGTCCTGGGCCTGGCCAGGTGGCACCCAGAAGAGAAGTGGGTGCTACACAGGGCTGTTTCTGAGGGCCAGTCCAGGGAGCCCTTAGGAGAATCTGGGAAGGCCTTCCCCTGAGATCCCAGCTTTCCTTCCCCATCCAGGAAGGAGTTGACCCTAAGAAGCTGGATTCCCTGACCACGAGCTTTGGCTTTCCTGTGGGCGCTGCCACACTGGTGGATGAAGTTGGTGTGGATGTCGCAAAACACGTAGCAGAAGATCTAGGCAAAACCTTTGGGGATCGGTTTGCAGGTGGAAACATAGAATTGCTGAAGCAGATGGTATCCAGGGGTTTCCTGGGTGAGTAGCTGCAAAGAAACATAACTAGCACCATTAGTGACAAAGTTTCCTGAGACCAAAGAGTTACAGAAGGCCCAAAGTGTAGAAAAGTGTGTTTCTTAAACATAGAGCTCACCACATAGGGAATTTAAAAAATCATTTCATGACAACCTCTTCTTAGGCTGGGCCTATAGACCACAGACAAAAGGCAGAAGGCTCTGCCATTGCCCAGACTGTGCAGGACTGACAGGCATCTCATCCTGCATAAGGCCTCTCCTATGTCTGTGATGCTGCAGGAGCATTATGGCCAGGCTCTCCCTGTTGTCTGACCACCTGAGGGGAGAAAGAAAGCCTCTAAGTACAGAGCACGTAGTTGAGGCCCACCGAAGAGCTGGCCTTCTCTCTTGGCAAAGCAGCAGCAAAATCAGCAGTAGGTCCTGAGTGTCCTAGGGTCTGGTGTTGCATATCTGGACATTAAAACTCACTCACGTGGCCTTTCCCACCCAGATACACAGATGTCCAAGCTGCAGGAAACACAAGATCTTTTCTCCTTCTCTGCCAACTCTTCCAACAAACACTAATTTCTAGGGTGGGCTGGATCTACAAGTGCAGGCGTGCAGAAGAGGCTAGAGCTTTGCAGCAGACTGTCTCAGGCCCGTGTGCTGAGAACCTGTAACTCTCCCTTTCCCGCGTCCTTTAGGTCGCAAGTCTGGGAAGGGCTTTTACATCTACCAGGAGGGTGTGAAGAGTAAGAATTTGAATTCTGACATGGACAGCATTTTGGCAAGTCTGAAGTTGGCTCCTCACCCTGAGGTGTAAGTTTATGTGAGGGGCCGAGGGTGCAGAAGCGTGTTTCTCCCCAGCTTCTGGGCCCCTCTTCCATCTTTTTTGTTATGATCGCCATACGTGACCATAGAGAACATTCCTGATTCTTAACACTTTTGGCCCTTCCACATTCCACCTTGTTCTCTGCCAGGCATCAGTGTAAGGACTGCAGCCGAGCCTTGGGAAGCCTGCCCTCTGCGGTCTCAGCACCGAGAAGGCGATTATCCTCGGTCCACATCATTTATCGTCATTAACGATAGATTATTATTATTTATGTGTAACTTACAACTACTGATGTCAAGATACTGCCTGCCCTGCCAGAGCCTGTTCTCAGTGCTCAGTGTCAGGTTAAGTGGGGCATGTCACTCTCTGCTGTCTTTTTCCGCGGGTGGCATCTTCCCTAGAGTTGAAGGTTGACTGGGGCCGGCCCTCCCTCACATCCTGCGCCTTTGGCTCTCCCTCTACCTGAACGTCTTTCCCTGTTGGCAGCTCCTCGGATGAAGACATCCAGTACCGCCTGGTGACCAGATTCGTGAACGAGGCCGTCCTGTGCCTGCAGGAAGGGATCTTGGCCACGCCTGCAGAGGGAGACATCGGCGCCGTCTTTGGGCTCGGCTTCCCCCCATGTCTTGGAGGTTGGTCTTGCAAACTGAGAATGTAGCTTGCTTTATTCTCAAGGTCACTTTGCTTCTCCTTCAACAAGGTCCTGTTTCTTCATTTAGGGCCCTTCCGCTTTGTGGATCTGTACGGCGCTCAGAAGATAGTGGACCGGCTCCGGAAGTATGAGGCAGCCTATGGAAAACAGTTCACCCCGTGCCAGCTGCTCCTTGACCACGCCAGCAGCCCTAACAAGAGGTTCTACCAGTGAGCAGGCCCTCACGTCCTGGTCGCTCGCCCACTGATGCCAGCCATGCTGGGTCTCCAGCAGAGTAGCGTCTAGATGTATGAGTAACCAGAAGGAAAACAAACTCGCCCTGGGTGTGTGCCTTGATTAAAGTGCCTTGAGCTATGACCGTCTCTCCCTCCTGGTGAAGTCTGGCTGTGAAGTAGTTTGTACTTCATGTCGGAAGGTGGAACCCACTGTGCTCATGAATTCATAAGCCTCAAAGCCCAGGCTGGCAGCGTCTCTGGAGTCATCCTTGCTGCCTGTTCCTCCCAGGAGGCCAGTGGTGGTAAGGACAAGTCTGCACCCAGCCAAACACATAACAATAAAAACCAGGCTCTTCATCAGCTTCTCTGCCTGCCTGTTCCTTTCTCTTCTGTCTTTGCCCTCTGCTTTAAACCCTTCCTTCAAGGAGTGAGCTGGAATAAAGCCCTGTGCTTTGGGGAGGAATGTGTTGGCAGAGTTTTGGGCAGTACCTTAAGAGAGACTGCAATGGTGGAAAGTGGGATTTTATGGACCTGAATCCTTTGAAACTGACTGTATTTAAGTGCTTTGGCTGGGCTTCTGCTTACAGTGAGGAAGAGGCGCTGGTGAACCAGAGCAGCGCGAGTGTAAGAGGTACGGAGGACCAGCATGTAAGATTCCTTTTCCCAAGTCTTCGTCACACAATTCTGCCCAGTTCTTTTCTTGGTGCCTCATTCACGTGCACACCTCAGGACGTTTGTGGGAACACTGGAGTTCAGCAGAGGAGATAACATTTTCCTGGTCAGTATACCCTGCACATCTTGGCGGCCCCAGAGCACGGAAGGTGGACGGTGCCTGCATAGCGATCACACGCAGCCTGTGTGAGCAGCACAAGGGCACCGAGTCAACCCACCGCCACCTCCACTCTTCCCCTCCCCCCTGCCCCCGGTGTGGAAAGTTCCTGTACTTGTGTTCTGGCAGAAGCCTTACCCAGTCGGGGTAAATAGCTTTGGGACTCCTCACTGGGTCTGGCAGAGGATGCACGCTGAGGGGGTGTGGAATCATAATGCAAGTCCCACTGCACTGGGCAGTCTCAACTTTGAGACAGCACCGATTCCTCCTGCCTCTGCTCCAGCTGCATCTCAGTCAGCCCTCCGGGCGCAGCTCTGCTGCTGGGACAGGCAGGTGGAGAGCTTAGCTCCTGGGCTACTCAGTGCTCACAGCTGGTTGCCAGGAAGCCGGACTCTAAAACCAAGGCATCGCTGAGGTGGGGTTTTCAGGTGACCAATAGAAGGCAGAGAACTGATCCTCTGCAGCAAGGCTATTAACAGGCTTCGGGAATGGGGTCAGGGAGTGGGGTGAGAGGCTCAAGGCAGGCATTTGGACAGGGCAGGAAGTTAAACCTGGGCCCTGGCCGGTGGCATGGAGCTTTGAAGTACGATCTTTCCACTCAGCAGCACTAGGGAGGCATGAATGATGTTGCAACATTAGTGGGAGTTGAAGGTCCATGTAGGGTGGGGGCCGGTGAGGGGTTTTCAGAAAGTAGTGAGGACCACACCTCCAGCTGCCTCTGGGGAACATCATAAGAATGGGCCGTGTGCAAACACCATTTCCCACGTCCTCTCCTGCCCACAAAGCATGTACGTTGTGTCTGTCAGTCCCCACGGCCCTCCAAAAGAACACGGTGACACCCGGATTCCACCTGCACTAGTCTTCAGTGGTCTAGCATTTATTTCACTAGCCCATAAGGATTCATTAAGTGACCAGCAAGGAAACCAAATGTCTCAGCATCACAGTTTCTGTGCTCTACTTCCTGACTCCCCTTCCCTCAGCGCCGAGGCAGCCTTGCTTAGGGCGTGAGCCCCAGCATGGCTTCGCTACTCTTAAGATAGAAAAACAGGAAATAAATATCTAGGTAGGCTAGGTAAGGCAGACGAGAAGGCTGATGCCCCTGGGCCTGACACTAGCGGCACGGGAATTAGTGCGGTTCTGGTAGGCGAGGTGGGGAAGGGCACAGGGTAGGTGGGCGGACACAATGGCCAACCGGCTCTGGTGCTGGCAGAGGTCCAGGGCACCATGCTTGAGGTCCAGGGCACCAAGACCTGCTTGAGGTCCAGGGCACCAAGACCTGCTTTGAAGCAGGTGGACAAGTGCAGGAGGACTGAGCTCCAGGAGGCAAAAGGCCAGTTTTCCCAAGCCCCCATGCTTTCTCTCCTACCCACCCAACTGGTGCCAGTGACAGGAAACCAGGAAAGGCACCCAGCAGTAGGGACAGGAGCCTCGTGGAAGTGGGAGTAATCAAAGACCACTTGCCTCTAGCATCAGGGAGCAGCTGCCCTCAATCCACCTGCTCCTCCACAGACTCAGTCTTCACGGATTGGATCCATCAGGTGTAATGGAGGACTCAGTGCATTGAGCCCGGGGCAGAAGCTAGGGCGCTGCGTATGTGAGGAGTATCTGCCTCCCTAACTAGGGAAGTAGGCCAGCAGCAGAGCTGTGCTCTTCCAAGGGCATCACCCACAAACCAGAACCCAGAGATGGAGTCTCTGAGGTGGGCAGCACAGGCTGCACTTGTCACACCTGTGCTCAAGGCCAGGGACCCAACATGGTGGAGCAGAGCAGGGAGGAGGGGCACTCGGACGCTGGGGCAGCTTAGGCCATGTGCCCACAGAGCACAGAGAGAGGGCACTCGGGAATTTGTGCTTAACTTATGGGTCATCTTCCCTTGTCTCCAAGCTGCACCTACAAGCTTGAGACGCGGGAGGGATCGGTGGAGCTCTGCCGCAGGGCGGAGGGAGCTGTGAGGTCACCATGAAGGCCAGCTTGTGACCCCTCCCCATTCCACCTCGATGGGAATCGTAGCGTGCACTGGTGCCTCCACCCCTCCACTTACTCCACACACTCAAAGGCAAGACGCCTGCAAGGGTCTGGCCAAGAGGCACCCCATTACCACATGTGTCTCCCCTGGATTCACTCTGCATAGCTGCTTAGCTGCCTCAGTCTGGCATGGATTCTCCCACTGGAGTGCTTCTGGGAGTGCTGTCCCCCAGCAGACCCAGGGCTGGCCTTCAGGGCCTCCGCACCAGCATTCCAGTTGTGCACCTACAAGCTGGGAAGTCAGATCTTGGGCCGCCAGCCTTTGATGAACTGCATGATCTTCTTGACCTGCAGCTTGGTGAGGTGGAAGTCATCTGCCAAGATGTCCTCACTGAGCTGCACGAAGATGCTGCCATCAATGCGTTCTCGGGCAAAGAAGCTCACCACATCTTCTGAGAGCCCAATGAAACGCAGACTTCGGGAGACCTCCTCCAGGGAGAGTGCAGACAGGTCAGCGGGGGGCTGCCAGGAGGCGGCGTCCCGGCCTCCCCAGCCTGTGGCCCCATCCCGGGGACTGGCTGGAGGCCCTTCTAGGCGCCCCTGGGTGAGGAGGAGTCGTGTTCCGCCTGCATCAGGCCCCTGCAGGCCCGCTGGTGACAGGGGAGTGGGGACCTGCCGCAGCACCAAACCTTCGGGCTCAAAGGCCTTTGGGGATCCAAGGGGTGAAAGGCCAGGTCCAGGCGCCCCCACAGCTCTGGGTTCCTGACAGCGCAGCAGCTCAGGCTCTGGAGAACTGCCCTGGCCTAGCTCAAAGGGGTCAAAGGGCTCTGGGGCTGGCTCCTGCCACTCAGAGGAGGAGGAGGAGGAGGTGGGAGCAGCTGAATAGGCCTGGCCTGGCGAGCCCGGGCCTGGGGAATAAGCAGGGCTGGAGGTAGCCAGGGGGCCCGAGGTGGCTGTGGGCGCAGGAGAGGAGGCCACTGAAGGGCCTGTGGGGTAGGCAGGCCCGGAAAAGGGGTTGAGGGCTCCAAAAGGAGCAAAGCGTTTCTGGGGGTGAGACGGCTTGAACGGAGGTGGGCAGCTGTGATAGGTCTTGACGGGGGTGTCAGCCCCCAGAAGGGAGGCAGCTCGACTGCTCAGGGGCTCTCCAAGGGCCCGGGAGGCCTGGCTGGGCTGCGTGGTGGAGGGTAGGGGTCCCGGGGGTGGGCGGCTGGAGGACTCGCCCACCTTGCAGTCTCCCCAGGTGCATGGGTAGCAATAGAGGGAGTAGGCGTCCGGTGATGGAGAACCACTGCCACTGCGGGAACCCGCCCTGTGGGCAGACACACAGATGTAAGGGTCAGCAGAGCAAGAGGGAAACGCGACAGGGTCACACACACCACATAACAAACTCCTGTCGGGTCATGGGGGGCGCAATTCTGATCTCAGCAACACTGACCTGTCCATACTTTAGCCCCCAAGCCCTGAGACCCTCTTGGATTGCCCTCCTCTTTCCTCCAGCACCCCGATCCCAAGAAAAATTAAACTATGCTGAATTACATAGAAATTTTTTAACAGCAAGGAGCACTCCATCCTGTGGCAGATCCCAGTCTGGAAGGAACAAGAGCAATGCTCCCAACCAACTATCATTTATGAAAGGAGCAAACTGAAGCAGGAAGGTGGAGAGCAAAGGACTGGCCCCCACACCCTGGCCCCCAATGCCCTCTCCCTTGGTCACTGCTCAGCAACCTGCACCCTCCCAACTCCAGGCCGGAAATCTTCCTCTTCCTCAGCACTGTTCCCCTCCCCACCCTCCCCTGCCTCAATCCACCTGAGGAGGACCAGGACCGGGAGAAGGAAGGGACTCACCCATCCTGGAGGCCAGAGGAGTAGTAGGAGAGGCTGGAGCTGGGTGAGTGGACAGGCTGCAGCTTGGGGAAGCGTGGGGGCACTGGAGGGCTGCCCGAGAGCCCACCGCTGCCACTACCACCCCGAGGGGGTACAGGGGGGGCGTTGAGCAGGCGGCACTCCTCCTTCACCTGCAAGCACAAGGCCATGATTCCACCCCGTCCCCAGGGAGCTGGGCAAGTCTGGGACTGACACTGCCCCACTTTGCCAAGAGATTGCCTTGCCTTATACCCCAACTACTCACGCACCCACCCTACCCCTTCTAATCTCTCTGGCCTCGTGGCAAGCCTCATCCAGAGCCCACAACACATACACTGTCTCTTTTGGCCTTGGAAATCCATCATGAATACAAGAAAAAAATAGAGAAGTTTATCAAAAACAATCAGTTAAGTAGACACATTCCCTTCTCACGGAAAAGGAGAAAAAGAAGAAAAAGATGTAATGAGGAAAGGGAAGTAAAAATTATCTGCCATTATGGGTCAGACACCCAGAGTGGACTCCATGGGATGTTAATAGGCATTGTCCAGATTCTGTGGACAAGTTCAGTTGGGAAATTGTGTGTTAAACAGAAATAAATGAGTTTCCTTAGTGCAGGACTTGTCAGAGCCTTTGCTATATCAATACTCTGCGGCTCCAAAATGAGGAGGGGGAGGGCTGGGAATCATACTACATTTTCTAAACCTATTTCATCACAGAACATTCTTTTCACTGGACAATTTAAGGGACTCCTGTGGAACCTTCTGGGTAACGCTATTCTTGACTCATCCCAAATTATCTGAGGCTGGGAACCTGCTGGCATCTTGATCCCCACAACTCCTAATATCACCTTACCTGGAACCCCTTTACTACAAATGCTCTTGCGTCTCTTTCACCCTTTTCTTCTCCCCTTTCCCTACTTTGGCCACCGGTCACACACTCCAGGGACTGGAGTCTGAGATGCCAAGGCTGGGCCCAGGAGATCTAGCTTTTCAGGCCCAAACCTTGCGCCCTGGCTGGCCACCTCCCTGGAGGACGGGGCGCACAGAGCTCGGCACCCAGCCTCCCACCCCAGCTCGCTTCCCCGCGTCCACTCACCGCCTCGGACTTGGGAGGCACAGGAGGCGGCGCCGCCTCGGGCTCCAAGCGGGGCGGCCCGGTGGCCCCGAAGGAGATGAGGTCGGGCCCCGGGAGCTGCCGAGCCCTGCCCTCGAAAGCCTCGACCGCCTGGTGGGCCCACAGCTCCTCGTAAGGGATCTCGGCGGGCGGCGCGGCGGGCT